TGGATTTGCAAAACATTTTGTTCTATTTAACATGAGATCAAAAGACGCCCAGAGTTCCTTTCTTTCGACTGCTGAAAATTGTAGAATGCCAGTATTTGGTGTTATTGATATTACATCCATCTCTCTTTAATTCCGACGTGAACATTTAGATAGATTTGCAAAGTTGACTACTAGTGGGTCTTAGTGTACATGTCGAATAAGAAAAAGACCGGTTTTTATATTCCTCAAGTATTTGCCAATTTCCTCTCGTAGAAAAACAACAGAAAAAAACTCGAAAATCAACATATTCGTAATCAGTGGGTCGGACTCTATCCAATTATATATATGAATAGAGTCAAAACCCTTTCTCATTGAGTTTTGCATTGATCACATTTCAAAAAAAAACGTTATCAAATATCCAAAAATTTTTTCTTTCTTTTAGGTAATTCAGCTAAATTATCTCTTGATCAATTTATGCCAGATATTCAAATAGATAAATGGATTGAAACATTTCATCAATATAAATTTGATAAACTTTCATTTGAACCATTATTTAAACGAGCATTACTTATATTAAAAGATGCTTGGTTACGTTGTATAAAAGAAGATGTTAATCATTTTACAACGGCTTATTATTTAACATCATCATCACCTTCACATTCGATTAATGGAAGTGAAGATGAAGATGAAAGTGAAGAAGAAGATGAAAATGAAAATGAAAATGAACCAAGTCCAATAAAGCCAAGTCCAATAAAACCAAGTCCAATAAAACCAATTCTAAAAAAACAAATTCAACGAATACATTCTCCACAGACACAAATTAAAATATCAAATGATATGATTTATATAAAACGTCCATGGTTAAATCGTTTTATTCCATCGGCACCAACTGAACGTCAAGAACGTTTTATTGAAGCATTAGAAAATGCTATGACGGATGAAGAACGACAACGTTTACGTGCTGCAAGACTTGAACGTTTACGTAAAATAGAAGAAAATCGTAAAAAAGCTTTAAAAGCAGCAAGAGAAAGACGACAAAAACAAGCAAATCAAAAATCAGGAGCAGATGCATTAAATGAGAAAAATGCTCAAATGCGTCGACATGAATCAGGATTATATATTGATCGAATATTACCTAGTAAAACAGCAACAATATCAAAAGATGCTCAACATTTATTATTGAATAGTTTTCAACGTTATATTAAATCAAGTAAAACAGCACCAGCAAAATTTGAACAAAAACTTAGTCTTATCCTTGATATTATTAAGGTATTTTTTTCCTATTCACTTGAACAGACAAAAATTTCTGAAAACTTGCTGAAACTACCTAATCATGGCTCTTGTCTGGAAGTTTTCACATTCAGAAAACTTCCAAAAAAGTTTCTTTCACAATATTTTTTCATATACATAAAGCATTAAAAACAAGTCATTTTATCTACAAAACACATGACAAAAAAAAGAATTTTTTTGAACGTTTCTCGGATGTAAAAGTTGTATTTTTTCAGGTGCTATCATTAAAGGTGTGCAGGACTGAGGCTACGAGAAAAAATTGTTCCAATCGGAACTAAAAATTATAGTTAAATATTCTATGGTTTCAAGTGAATTATCGTATAGATCCTATCAATCAGAACATAATTCAAGAGAGATGATCGAAGAAAAGTACTAGCCGTTGACTAAGTAAATCCAATAACGGTTATTAAACAAAATTTTAAAATGTGATACGAATAAATTCTGGAGTAGTTCTTTTCAGACCGGAGCCAACATTAGGGCAGCTAGAAAAGGAGTTATCGGAACCAGGACCCAAAAAAAACTTGGTCTCGCACATCTCTACTCGTCACATACCTTTTATAATGAAAGTAACTGATTTTTTGTGTTTTCTGAAGGGATTTGAAGTCTGCTAGTTAACTCCTCACGTAACTAATCTTAATTTTAGAATTCTTAATATTTCATCTTTAAAAACAGCTTACGTTCTTCAAATAATGATTTCAAATTTTAGCATGAAATTCGATCATTAGGTTAATACTTTTTAAGACTTTGAAATACTTATTGATAGAATATTCTAATCGGTTCTTTTTTTATCTGTTTGCTTTGTATATGACAAAAACCTTTTTTCTTTTTAATATTAGCAATATATAAATAGTTTCATATTATTTATTTGTTAGTGGTTAGAAACAACAAATCCATTTGAAAAACAACAACAAATAGATCGTATGAGAAAGACTTATTTTGATAGTCAATCAAAACGAAATATTCTTCCATTAAATGATGAATATACTGAAATGTTAGATATAAATAATGGTCGTCCAGATCCGGCATTTATTCAAAGTATTTATCGTGATATACGTATTGAATTAGAAGATGAATTTGTTCGTTATTGTGGAGATCGTATAAATGAATTTGAAATTGATTCTATTGATGATTTTCTATCAAAATCATATGATGAATTAACATTATTATTTAATGATATAAATGATGGTAGACGAGGTGATCGTGATGATGATGATAATGGTATATTATTTGATCCAGATATTGAAGCATTAGCATCAAATAGTGATGGTACAGGTAAAGTAGCAAAAAAACATTATGCAGAATTACTTCAATTAATAGGAGATGCTGCTATTGGTCGTTTTAATGAACGTTTTTATTATTTTTATGCATATTTAACACATTGGGTTGATCAAAAAAAAGCTCCATATATTGATCAAGATTTTTTATTTTGTATTGATGTTAGTCGTTTAAAAGAAATAGCTAATGATTCAATGTTACAAGCAAAAGCACGTTATATACTTGAAACATATTTTGAATCAAATTTAACATCAAGTACTTTTACTTGTCGTCTTGATATAACAAATTCTGATTTACAAACACGTATTGTACGTTCATTACAAAAATATTTATCAACAAATGTTAATGATTTTACATCATTAGATGAAGCACGAACAAATTTAGTTAAAGATAAACTTGTTTATTATTATGCAGGTTTTAAAGCATATTTATTTCGTATGAATTTAACTAAAACACATCCATCACGTCTTGCAAAATTACAAGAACAATTAAATATTTATCAACAACAACAACGTACTAATAAATCAGCTAAAACAAATGCACGTTCATCAATATCAACAACAAATAAAATTTTATCACCAAGAAAAACTCTTACAGCTATGTCAAAAACTCATCCATTATCACCATCAACACCAATTGATATAACAACAGTAACTAAAACTCAACGTTTACTTAATGAAAGAATGAAAACATTTGATACAATTCAATCAAATAAAGTTAATGATATACCTTTTCCAAATACTAATAGAAAAGTACGACAACAATCTGCAAATGTTAATAATAATAAATTACGTAATTCAAATAATCAAGATGGACAAATAACAACAAATATAGAAAGATCAAATAGTCTTAAAGAAAAAAGTCGAGGACCTGTTTTTGTTCAATATACATTAACAAGTGGACTTAAAATAAAATATTCTGATGGAAGACCTATTGAAGAAAATACGAATGGAACTGGAATTGGATTACAACAACGACGTGGAAGTGCTGCTTATTCATTTGGAAGTGGAAATGATTAATGTTGATAAACATCATTTGATTCTAATGGTGGCAGAACTTTCGGTGATTTTGTTTGCCGTTTCAATTGCGATAATAAAGTCTAGTACAAAATAAAAAAAAATAATATTCATTTAGAATTATAGAGATCTATTTATCAAATATAAACAAATTTTTGTATAAAATCTATTTCTTTATTTTCTACTATTTTATATATTAAAATAAAAGATTTAGAGAATCAATTCAAAATTTCTAATATTAGTTCATAACAATATATATATATATATATATATCAAATATTATCATCAATAGAGTAAATTAAGAATATCGTTCTGCACGAAATAGAAATCAAATCTGTTTTTCTTAACAGATATGCTTTACAACGACATCTATCTATTGGATATTAGAGATGTGAAAAGTGAACTTGTTTCGTATCCTGTACCTTGACTGACAACAATTTTCTAACCTCTATTGAATACATTTTCATAATTCAAATATACTTTTAAAGCTTTTTAAAAAATCGAAGCGATAGAATGCTTTATATATGACAACAATAGCACGTCCTTGTCCTGAGAAGGTTTTCTAGAGATGAAGTTTTTCCGCAAAAATCTGTGCCAGTTCTTCTCTCCGAATTTCTCAGACCTGATATATTCGATCGGATAGAAACCTTTTTCAAATATATTAGACACTATTCGGAATGAGTACATCTTCTCATCTTTTTGTTTCAAAAAACATTACTATCATGATTTTCGGTAGGTTTTACAAAAAACTGTCCTAGCAAAAAAAAACAAGAATGTTTTTTGGATACATCTCGTATTCTGGTTTCTTTATTCAAAAGACAAAAATAAATATTAAGAATAGAAAATTTTCATCACAAACAGTGTTCGATACTTGTAAAAAAAAAATTTCCAAAATCAATCGAACATTGTCAGTGAAAGAAACGGACACGAAAAGGAATTACTTTTGACTCATGATAACGCTCATATCTCATAGAAGGATACAGTCGAAAATTTTATAGAAAGCTTGAAAGAGATGACCAGGTATCTTGATTGTTAAACTATGAATAGAGGTCAACAAAAAACAAGCTGTTAGCGCCATTCCAGAGGGATTAAAATGTGAAACACAATGTACCTGTTGTTGCTAATCACAGGTATATTGTTTTATTTCATCTAATTTCGAATATATTTCTTCACTATCGTTTAGAAATGCAGTAAGTCTTTGATCATTTAGCAATAACGTCTCTTACGATTTATGATGCGGGGGTGATGAAGGATTGCTAAGATGCCTATCATGGTCTGTGATGGACAGAAGACGTTGCTAAGGCATCTGTCATGGTCTGTGATCTTATATTAACAACGTCTGTCACTGTTTAAGATGGAAGCAAGATGGTGCTACAGATGCCAATCACGTCCATGATATGTTATTCTCTATATACGTCAGTATTTCTTTTAAATTGTATTTCATAAAAAATAATCTTGATTTTCTATATGAAAGCTTACTTCAGCAATATTCACTCTTTGTGTCCAAATATCAATTTCATGTTTTAATTTTTTTGTTTGTTCAATAGTATAAGCATATTCTGTAATTGTTGGTACTTTTTTAATATCAGCTATTCGATCTTTTAAAAAATTATTTTCATTTAAAATTAATTCATTTTCATATTTAATACAAGAAATTTCATTATTAAGTAATTCTAAATAATTTTCGAATAAATCACATTTATATTGATAATCAATTTTCAATTGTTCTTGTTCAGATAGCTTTGCTTTCCATTCTTCTAAATTATGAATTAATGGATATTGTGATGATTTATTCATTGTATATTGTTTTTCAAGTTTTTTATATGTATCTCGATAATCAATATATTTTGTTCGAACAAAATTAATATCAATTTCATCCATTTTTTCATGTAAATTATCTAAATCTTGCATAGTTTTCTCAATTGTTCGAATACGTACTTGTGCACATTCTGTATCAATATGTAAAGAATCAATTAAACGTTTATGTTTTTCTATTTGTTTATTAATACGACTAATAAGAATATCAGCTGGAACAATTAAACGTTTATTATTTAATTTATCTTTACTAAAATCATATTGAAATTTATTTATATGTTTTTTTACATCATTATTGAGTTTTTCTTCAGTAATTTCATCAGATTCAGCAGTTCGAAGAAGAACCTAGATATATATAAATATATATTTATGAAATGTCTTATTATTCATATATAGATTTTACACTTGACAATAAAAAAAAAAGATTAATCGAATTCCATTTGAAATTCAATTTAAAAAATAAATTGAATTAACTAAACTATTATTTTCAAACATGATATGAAATATAAATTATAATTAATTGAAAGATTCAAGTCTATAAGCATAGAAAAAACAAATAAGACACTTCATTACTATCTAGTCAAATGAAAAATACAAGAATAAACTGTCTTTCGAGTAATTTTATCATAAAGAATGTTTACTGAAACCAGTAGTTGAATTGAAAAATTTTTTCTTTCAATCACTTGAACTTTCTATACATACAAAGTGATTACATAGTAATCACGAAGACTATAATCATTGTGTTATCAGACAGGCAAATTGAGGTGATCAGTCGTCATATACTTGTTAAATATCTTTTCATACCTAATAATACCAAGACTCAAGTATAGCATTCGGAAATTTACTCCATGCATGAATAAAAACTGCTATCTAATCTCTAATTGAAATGATCACATTCGATATCGTTGAATTCAATCATCGAAATCTAACTCGATTTCTGAATCTTGAAAAATAAACTTCATCAATATGTTTCCATTGTATAATTCTAAAAATTTAATTTCAGAATTTGAAATTTATCAAATCTTCATAGATATTTATATTGTTTTTTATTAATTATTCCATATATGAGCAAACATTCGTTAGTAACGTTATTTCACCAAATAGAAATGCTTATATCTCTGAACTTAGGCATTTCTTTTAGCTAATTTTTATTTAATAGATGCATGTTGAGTAACTCTATATACCTTAAAAAACTTTGTCGTATAGATCTTAGTTTCGTCGAGTTATTATTGAAAAATCAGCATTAACGACATGACACAAAAAAGGATGAAGATTTTCATTGCGTGTATTTCGTAGAAGACTCTTGAAAAAATTCTCTTGTAGCTGAAAACCCATTCTAAATGGTACAAATCCTTCTCCAACATCATAAAATGATAGCAAAATAAAAGGTCTCATTCTGAGACAAAATTAGATCTTTAAAAAATCGGTGTTTGAGAGACCATGTTTTTTGAAGTCCAAACTTGTTAAAAATTTCACCAGAGATATAATTTATAGTGTGGAGTTTATTCTGACATTTTTGAACTTTTTACATCTAAAGCTTAGAGAATTTTTCACTAATTACATTTTAATTAATAAACTAATTAAGTTTATTTAGATATGAGTTTAAAGAACTAATATTTTTACACACAGTAGTGGATAAAAACCTCTACTCCAGCCAATCTCGGCTACTATATGTGCTGAAAGTTTGAAAATTTGTGTACACATGCTCCGTCAAGAATGTAGATCATGTGCATTACAACGCCGTTATCGCTTAATAACAACACGAGCTATGATGGATAATATCGATTTATGTTGTCAACTTCATAACCTTGGACTATAAGAATATTCTATGTCATTCGACTTCTCAATATGTAGTACGATGTCCTAGTTATCTACATTTCTAATGTCATTGAAGTTTACTAATCTTTTCAACGACTATGTTCATTTTATTGTGATCATTCTTGTGGAGAGAAACTATTTACTGGCTTTTTGAGGTCATTAACTTAGTGATAGCTCAATGAAACAAATTCAAATTTTTTAAGAAGTTTTCTTTATAAGTTTCAGAAGTGAATCTTGTATTAAAGAGAAATAGAACATAGATGATAATCTTGTTCGTTCCAAGGATCCAAAAATCTCAATATTCAAGTAAATGAACTTATGCTTTCAATGAAGAAAGATCGTAGATGAGACTTCAACTAAATGTAAAAATATTAGGCATATTTTTAGTAAGAAATAGACCAAAATTTCGTAGGCAGTCTTTTTTAGGTTATAATACTTAGAGCAAAAATAGATGCCGCCCATCATAACTCTCATTATAGTTAAGTAATTACGGCACAACAATACCAATAGATCTAAATTCTTAGTGGAATAAATGTATACAAATTTCTAGACCTTCAACATATATAATGGCCTAGATTTTTATTCACTACTGTATATTCATGGTAAAAAGACTTATTGAAAAAAATAACTTCAAAATAAAGTATCCAAATCAAATCGAAGATGATCATATTTCGTTTTTGTCTCATATATATATATATATATATAATTCTTTAAACTTACATCTAATTGGTCTAATTCTAAAATAGAATTAGCTTCCATTCTTTTCCAATCTAATCGTGTATGTTCAATTTCATATGCAGCAATAAATAATTTTTCTTGTTTAATACGTAAAAGAAGTGGTGCATAAGTAGCTTCACGTAAATTTGCTATTAATTTAGTCCATAATGATTTTGTGTTTGATGTATCAACCGAATTTTTTTCCACTAAAACCAAAAAATATCAATTCAAATAAGTCAAAAATAAATAATAATAAAGAATTGTATTTCATTACTAGATAAACGTCTTGCTATTTTAGGTACTTTACTATGAAGAATGTTTTCATTTGAATTAATATATAATTCTTTTTCAATAATATCATTTTCATTTGCATATTGATCATATGTTTCTATAATATTTGAACTATTAACTCGTCGTAAATAACGTGAATAAAGTAAATTTTCCAAACGTATTTTTTCATTTTCTTTTCTTTTATAATTAATAATTAAGAAAATAATTCCATGTAAAAAATCAAAAATCTATTTACATACTTTATTTTATTTATTGCTTCTTCTAATTCTTCATTATGAAAATGATCAATAATATAATCATTTTTTAATAGTGGTAATTCTAAAGAGAATCCACGTCTTGAACGTCCTTCTTTTTCTATTGGTAAAACTTCTACATAGGTACTCGAACGTCGAGATCGACCTAGTAAATGATTTGTCATTATTAACAATTCTTATTCAACAGATTTATATATATATATATATATGTGTGTGTGTGTGTGTGTGTATACATGCCCACAGATTATCTCAATAATGACAAGTAGATAAAATACAATTGATCATGCCCGTATATATAAAATCTTAGAAGTTTTATAACATAGAAGAAGTATGTAAGAATGAATAGTTTATTATCAAAATCATGTTAAAGAAATTTATGATCAATAATAATAAAAAAAAGTACAATGAAAAGATATTTTTCAAGTATTCACTAATCATAAAACAATTTGAAAGAAAATAGATTTCAAAAAAAAAAAAAGAAATTAGTTGATAAATAATTTATGTCTTTTATTTTTATTTTATTAATAAATTAATTAATTCAAAATTTTGTATTCATTGAATTTTAGTTTTTTGATTAGTTTTTATGATTTAAAAAGAAAAACACTCATAAAAACAAAAGTTTCACTGCAACTGGTAATGTGATTGATTAGTCATCATGTATTTACGCATTTTCGAATGATGTCATCGTTTTTCATTATTATCTGACGCAAAATATTAATAGAATATGTTTTGCACTTATAAAAAGGTCATCTCTAGTTATTTATCACGCTTACACACACGTGATTATGTCATTTTGTAGTATTTTCCGTAAATAACAGCGTAGTAATCGTAGATATTTATCAATGGGCTATAGTACTAATATGAAAACATCCATCCAGAAAATTAATTTAGGTTAAGAAAGTGTATGATAAGAAATTTTTACGTAAACTGTATAAAACTCATTGAAATATATGAGAACAAGAGTGAAAAAGATTAGATCCAAAGTGTCATTGAGCATCCCTGTAGATATAATTACAGGTGAATAGTTGATGTACTATTGTGTTGAATAGAATCTATGAGTAATGAACATTGACAGGCAATTCAAGCACAAAGTTCATTATTATATTATATTCAAGTAGAATTTTGAAAATATTTCTTCCAAGTAGTGACATCATGATAAAAATTCTACATCCAAAAAATAGCTATCAATCTCAACCGAATACAACGAAAAATTTTCATTGATGAAATATATGTTCCATTGATAACACCATCGATATGATAATAATTAATTATAATATCGAATGAAATTTTCTTCAAAATTCAAGATAAATTTTTCATCAAAAAGAACACTATTGATGAACTTTTAATTTTATATTTCGATAGATGTAGTGAATAATCAATCATTCAACTTCCTTCGAGTGGTGTATATTATAATTTCTATTTCTTATGTTGAATATCCAATCAGAAAAAATGAACACAAAGTCCAAGTGTTGTTTTTGAAAAAAAAAAGAAAGAAACACTAATGATCGAATTCTCTTGAGAGTCAAAATAGCAACGAATTGTCCTAATTCAAATAAATAATATCCAATAAAAGATGACATCAACAACAGAACATAACTCATTAAATGTTTATCTTGCTAATTATTTTATTTACTGCCCATTATTATGTGAAAAAGAAGGACAGGTTTGATATTCAAAACAAAAAACAAAATTTCTTTTCTTTTAATAGAAAATAATTCTTTAGGAACATCGAAAAATTCTTTATTATTATCCATCCAATGTAGATATCGATCGTCAGATACGTACAATCGGTTATTGTGAAGGTTTAATTCAATTTACTGAGTATATTTAATTTATTAAATTAAATATTTATTTTTAATATTATAAAATAAATAAATAAAAATTTATTTGTTCAAGAACATTTGGTTTTGATGATCAATGTGAATGCGTACATTTACAAAAGACTCGTCTCTTATTTTGTAAAGTTGAACATGATATTTGTCTTACTATGGTATAAGAAAAAACAAAAAGAAAATTCTTTTGTTTTTTTTTTTACTATATTTTATTTATTTAAGACACTTAATGTTCCAAATATGGAACGAAAAAAAAATGAAAAATCTATTATCGAATATTATGATGAACATATTAATGATAGACTTATGTTATCTATTTTAAAAATGTCCTATCGATATTTTGTTGTAAGTTATTCATAAAAAATACAATCATGATAAGATATTTTATTTTATTAATTTATCAAGTTACAACATGGAACAATGTCTTCATTAGTTCAACCGAATGGTATAGAAGAATTAAAAAATATACTTAAAATATATTTTGATAAGGTAAATAGATTATTTTAATTTTTATTGATAGAAAAAAATAAATAAAACATTGATTTTCTATTAAAATTATGTTTAAATATGATATTAGAGATTTTTTTTTAAAGATAAATTAATTTGTTAATGTTTTCAAGGATGAATAAAAATTTGAACATTTGTTTGTTTTTTTTTGGATTGTGCCCAATAGACTAGCTTGCTAGGATTTTTTTTATTATATCAGTTTGAGAATCATGACTAATGATATTATTCAATGAAGCACTTTTTATGATGTCGTTGTACCTATAAAATTTTACAATATTGAGATTAGGATTATTTAGCAGACTGTAAAAGTCATCAAAGTATTTAATGCATTGTGTTAGTATATTTTGTTGTATGTCGCATTTATTTACATACTGATTGATTACAACGACAAAACTATTATAACACTATTACAAAAGTTTAAGAAGTTTGAGATAAGAATTTTAACTATTGATTAGATAAAAAACAATATTGACTATCATAATATAAAAAAAGATTTTTTTGTATTGCATTGATACTGACTAATGTTTGTTAAGTAATTTTAATCTTAATCTTGTAAATTTCTATAGATGAAATAACCTTAGAAAAATATATAATTGAATAAGATCATCAATCACGACTCTCGAACTGATAAAATAAAAATTAATAGAAAACTGATCTATTTCGCATGACCAAAAAAGAAAACAAAGACCTATGTATGAAATAATTTTTTTTAATGGTAAAATCTAGAACTTGCTTTGTTTTATTTTTGAATGTATTAAATACTTTATTTTATTTAGTTTATTCAAAATCGTTTACATAGAATGATAGTTGATACAACAATTGATTCTTCATATTTCGGTATACAATTTCTACCAGTTGAAAAAATAAACTATATAAAAATTCAATCAATTTTACGACGATTTGAATTACGTTTTACATCATTGAAAGAAACATTGTTTCTATACAGAAATCAACTTATATGGTATATTAAATAGATATTTCTTTTTTTGATACATATATATATATTTATTTATTTTAAGGAGTGGTCTTAATCAAGATGATACTAGTCTAATCTATTCATATTTTCGACTTCATTATTGGCCACAAATTAAAACATTACAAAATACATCTACTATAAGGTAAGAAGAAAATTATATTAAACAAGCATATCAATATTATAAATTTTGTAACAGGAAGAATAGATTTCTATAAAACTGAGATATTTTTTATATTTCATTTACAACTAAATTCTTAGTAATAATATTTTTTCTCTTGTATTCAGTAATGTTACCGCTCGAAACAAAAAAAAATTTCTATCGACTTACATACAATTGACATAATGCATATAAAGAGCATGGCTCTAAAAAGTCTTGACTCATTTTTGCATAGAAAAAGTATAATAAAACACGTTCTTCAAAACGACTATAAATTCATCGTATGTATCAAGGCATTTTTCAGTCTAGACATGTCTCTTATAATGAAAAGACAATTGACCTTTAATATTTTTAGTCATTAAAAATGAAATAGTATACCTAGTATAACCTAAGCAATTACATGCGAAACTCACATTGACATTATTTTTTTTTGTCGATGTCTGAATCAGTAACTGGTTATAATCAGTGTCGTTCATTAATTCTATCTATGAATTGAAAAGATTCCTATTGAGAAAATAGCAAACATCGTTGATGAATTATATTCTTATGAAAATTTCTTTATATCTACATCGATAATTATTAAGACGAAAGATATATCGAATATTAAGAAAAGAAAACTAGTAAAAACATGTGTTAAACTAAGAACTATCCTAACAGAATAGTTTACGAAAGCCATAAAAGTAAAACAAAAAGTGATCTTTCAATTGTAATGTTAATTATCCACATCGGAGTTTTTCTATTCATAGACAAAATTAATTTGTGACAATCAATTATATATCCAGTTAATGGATTACATACTGAATTGATGATAAAATAGTTTTTACAACGATAGTTGGTTGTTTGGTTTATACTTACGAAGGAATTACTCCAAGTGACACCTACCGTTTGAGCTCATATTGGATCCCCGGGCAGATCTTAATGAGAATAGTAAAAGTCCATAAAAGGTTTAGCAGCGAGTTATGGTCTTTACTGATTTTCGACTCATTTTTAGGTACTTTTCGAAAGACTGAATATAATGAAGTTTTGAGCCAAAATTTTGTCTATAGATAAGTCTAATGACTGTTAGAATATCCTGAAAGTTTCAGCTGAAAAAAAATGTTTCTTCGCCAAGATATTGAATTTTCAAAAATAGTCCTTTATTACAAAAATCGTGTTCACTTGAAAACTTAATAACTCGACGAAAGAACATTCTTTTCGACTGAAACTTTCAGGATATTCTAAGAGTCATTAGAGCTATCTTTAGACAAAATTTTAGATCAAAACACCATTATATTCAGTCTTCCAGGAGGTATCTAAAACTGAGTGAAAAATCCAATAAATTTCTCATAACTCGGTGCCGAATCCGTCTAGATTTTTGCTAATTTCTCTGAGATCTAGTTGTGAGTCCAATATAAGCTCAAACGGCGAGTATCATTTGAAGAAATTCCTTCGTTAGTCGTTTATTTTCATTTTTTTTTATGGTCAACAGTTAACTAGCTGTTAACTATGATAGGATAAACTTTTTAATATATAAGTCATAGGGATTAATTTATAGTTATTTTGAAGAACGTGATTTACTGTACTTGTTTGTCTATCAAGACAATCGTACGATAAAATTTTTTATTAAACAAAATGAATAAAAACTTTCGTCTTACGCTTTATCTATATTAATAAATACAAAGAGAAAGTTCGTCAGAGAAACTCGGATCAGATTCCCATGTTATAAGTGATAACAGATTAAAAAAAAAATTAAATTTTTTCTGTTCTTTTCAATGTAATGTGTAATTCTATAGAAATCTCCTGAGAGTTAAAAAACAAAGATTGATATTAACTCCAATCATATAAAGATTAGATGATGAAAAAATGATTGTATTTTTTATTTTTTTATTGGTTGTCCTATGATTAAAAATGCGTCATAGAAACAAGAAGGTTACTTATCATATGTGTAATCGTGATCTTTTTTCTTTTAATCATATATAAATATGATATTTGTAGATATTTAACAATTGATACAAGTGCAAATCCATCTGATGAATTAATTATATCAACAGATGTAATTAGTCAAGAATTTTTTTTGGGTTGTCCAGCTACATCACATCGAATAGTTGTTATAAATATAAATTTATTTACTATTTTTTGTATATTCTATAATGGTAAAAATTTTTTTTTTAAATATTTATTTTAATGATTATTTATATATATGTTTTTTAATTAAAGATGAAGAACTATCTAACAATGAAACAACATTATCAAAAATTAATTCATATAAAAAAGATTTCGATGAAATTTTACCATATTTTGAAGAAAATTCACGAAAAAAACATTTTACGTAAGTGTATTTAATTTAAAAATTAAACTATATTGAATATTAAAAAAAATATATATTGATTTATTTAATAGAATAGATGCCAATGTAAGGACTATTTATTTTAATAAAATGAATATGGCACATTCATCAACAGTTGATTGGAATCGGGAACCAAATAATACTATGATTGGTATTACGAGTACGCTTGCTGAAGATTTGCAATGGTATGATAAATCTATAGAAACTTTCTTTTTTCTAAACATAAATCATGATCTTTAACTTAGGAAATAAAATATAAATTATTTTATATCCTTTAGAATTTTATAAAGTCATATTAAGATTTTAAATCTCTATCAGTTTTATTTTTTGTTTATATGAATATGATATGAAAAATTATTAAAAAATTTCAAAATTCTAATTAAATAATGAAGACTTATTTGTAAAACTTAAATTTTTTTAAGGTTTCATCCATCCGGTGAAATAATGGTTAAACGTGAAAATGATCCATGGATAATAGCTAAACGATCCGATATGCGTGAATTATTAGTAATTATAAATCAAAAGAATGCAAATTTAAAAGATATAAGCGGTAAAATATTTTATTTTTTTTCTTATTTTATATTAACAACATATTAACTTTTCATTTAGATAAAATCAAACAAATATTTTCTACACAATTTAATAATATTTTACTCTTAGAGTGACTTCTTTTTGTTTTAATGATATGTGTGTATTTCTTTATTTTTCTTGCGCAATAAATTTATGCATTTAATTTTCTATATTTACTTTGCTTGAGTTAATATTTTATTTTTGTAGACAAAAAAAGAGAAAACAAAACCGAAAAGTTCGGTATGATCTTATTATCACTAAATCTAATTATTATCACTTATTAATCAAAGTGAATACAAAAACCAAAAAAGAAAAGAACTATGAATGGTCCATCAACAGTAAATCATTCAACAAATAATAATGAACAATTAATTGGAAAATTTCATGTTGTCAATGTTGATAAATTACCAACAAATCCCGTTAATGCTCATGATGAAACAACTACTATTATTAGTCAACAACAACAACAACAACCACCACCACCATCATCTGCTCCTGCTACAACTACAATCACCACCGATGAATCCGTATGTCCATCACGTTTTCAAATGATTCGTGTTGATAGAAATTTTGTACGTGGTCGTTGGAAAGTAAATGATTACGAACCACCTGAAAATATTTCAACTATAAATAATCCACCGGTGAATAATACTATTGAAAATGAATCTGTAAACAATTCCAATACATCAACTATACAAACAACAGCACCAATAACAACAATACAATCTAATATACCATCAATGGTACATGCTGATTCAAATGTTACTTCATCAGCAACACTTGCTGCAACAGCTGCTGTAAGAATTTTGTTTTTTTTTTTAATAAAATAAAATTTTCTTGTTTTCTAGTCAGCTGCTGCTGCAGCTGCAACTGCTTTTCAACAACAACAACAACAACAACGATTAGCAATGAATAATTCAACAACAATTGTACCAACAGCAAATGTTCCACCACCAGCTGGTCTTCTTCCTGCTTATCCAACAGCAGCATTACCTAATATGGCAGCACCAAATCAAGCTTATATTTTACCAAGTCATCCACAATTTGGTTATTATCAAATACTGCTACCACCTTATTCACCATATGCTGCTCAATGGGCTGCTTTAGCTGCTTCAAATTCTTTTCTACCTCCATCAATACCACCACATCAACAACAAACATCTCAATTACCAACTGGAAATCTCGGTGAACCTATACGACATACGGATACAGGTATATTGAAACGTTTTATAAATGAGAAAATGGTTTCGAATAAGGATATCAAAATTATGATCAAATTTCTAAAAATAGAAACTTTCGAAAAGTCTAGTTTTTCAACACCTAGAGCGTGTAAATATAATTTTGTTTGGACTAGATAGAAAGATACAGTAAATAATTGTCTACAAAATAAGATGTCTTTGAGTTTTCTGCAACATTTTTCAGCTGAGATATAGCAATCTTACGAAAAACTCTAAAGTCGTTTTTTTACTAGCGATTGATCTAAAAATAATGGGACAGTTTGATTTTTTCGTTTTTGAAGAATGAAAACAATGTTTAAATATATCATTCTAATCTCATTCGGTAGAGAATTTTTCGCTCTACAAAAAATGTAGACTTCAATTTTTTTTAAATAAGTTTTTCTTGTCGATGAAAAATTGGAAAGATTGATGACTGCTTCATAGTCTCATAGTGACTTCCTGCTATTTTTTACGGACATCTAACGATTTATACAAACTCATGCTCATCAAGTTCGATACTAAATGTAAAGTATTTAGCATTAATAGATGCAGGATTTTATGCCTTTATTATATCATCAGATAGAAAATTTAATTCTGAACAAAATGATGCAACATTTAAACCGAACAACGAAAATCTTTAGATTATCTCCAATGACATACAACTGCCAGAAAGAGTTCTTTATATCGTTTTCTAATGATCGAACTGTTATTTAAAAAATATTTTTAATAATTGTTTTGTCAATCGTTTCGATTTTTCTGTAACGAAAAAAAACTTATTTGAAGAACAAAGTCAACAGTGTTGTAGATCGTAAAAATTCTCTATCGAATAAACTTAGAATAGTATCTTTAAAATGTGTTGCTATCTTCAAAAAATAAATATCAGTTTGTTAAAATCTATATTATTAATCTGTTTGATATTTGTTATTTTCTTTAGTTTCTGATGGAACTAGTGAAAATTCAGTCATCTCTTGTAATCTATTTCCAAATCCGACTACTGATCACTTACAAAATGCTCAAATGGCTGGTGCAACTACTGCATCATTTATATATGCTACTCAGCATCCTCATTCAACATATATTTCACAAGCACCACCGAATACTGCTTCGCCTTATGCAACTATACCATCTTATCATCCTGCCACACAACCATCAACATCAAGACCAACATCACTCGCTCAGGTTATTCCAAATAATACTACTGACATGCAACAACAACAACAACAACAGATACAATCTCATCAAGTATCATCTACACAACAACAACAAGCACCAATTCTTACTTCACCTAAACATGATACAACATCAACAAAAACTTCTTGTCAACAACCAAAAATAACGGCAACAACAGCACCAACAAAACTTTTAACAACACAAACAAATGGTACTAATAATGATCTATTAAAAACAACAACAGCACAAATAAATCAAACAAGACCTGTAATAACAATCGGCAATAATATTAATACTGATACATTAAAAACAACAAATCCTACATATATAACTGACTTATTATCAACATCACCTTCATTATCAAATGTTCAACAACCATCACAAACACTTATGTCTCCTATAACAATACAAACAAATAATCCGAGTAATATGAATAGTCCAAATAAAGCACCGACAGCTTCTTTAAATGATATATGGTCATATACAACAGGTGGTCCACAATTAAATTTATCACAAACAGCTGCACAAACTGCTGCTGTTACAGCTGTTGCTGCAATGGGTTTATTAAATAGTGAAAACAGTCAAAATACTGAGATAGCTAATGAAATTCTTAAAGAATTAACAACACCAACAAAACAAAATAAGTAAGTTAAAAAGTTATTATTTATTTCTTTTTTTTTGTTATTATTTTTACTGCTCTCACCATATTTCAAGCTTCAGTTTATCAGAGAGACGAGTACGTTTAAGAAATAGGCGACAGCGCAGGTATTCAAAAACAAAAAAAAACATATTAAAATTCTATTGCATACGCATTAATATACTTGAACAAAAAAAAAAGCACATACATATCAAATATAAAACATATATTTAAATGATCTCGTATTAATCGATGAATGACACTCACGCTTATATCTATTTCTTTTCATGGCTAAATACTATGCTGAAGAAAACGAAAATCAAATAAATCATAAGAAAAAAAGATATTTTGAATTATTATTCACGCTCAAAAATCTCTATTTTTGGCTTTTTTTCTCTTGCTCATTTTTAATCTATATTCGCATGATATATGCTTCTTCTGATGAGATGCATTTATTGATTTTTTTTTCTTATCTATTTTAGTACAACGGATATTGACAATAAAATTTCAGCAGCTATGGTAAGTGACATTTGATAGAATAGATTTTGATTTATAAAACATATGAAAAGTTTATTGTATATAATTTGAAATAGAGAAGAGAAACTATTTGATAAGAAGCACTAATAAAAGGAAGTCATCTAACTGATTAATCGCTTTTGGTTCAGGATTCTGTATATCATGTAAACAAAAACTGAAAAGAGTTCTGATCTGTAGCTTATCACTGTGAAGATACTTCATTTTTATAGTATTTTTTAACTGAATACTGTGGTCCCTTTCAAGAACATCAGAAAAATTGATTGTCGAATTTTGACTTGAAATTTTGTACAAAGACAGGTTAATCAATTGTCGTAGTGTTCTTGAGCAGGATCTACAGCATTGGCTTGACAAATACAGTAAAAATGCAGTATCTCTATAGTAATAAGCTAACGAGAAACCTACCCGAACTGATACACCTCATTTGAGCGCTTATTAAATTCACAAAAGAAGTCTCGGTAAGACTAGAACACATCCTAGAAGGATTCGTAGTCATGAGCCTCTCAATTCGATTTAGAACCGTTTTATTGAATTTTGTCCTGAAATGTTGTCTATAGATAGGTCTGATGACTCTAGGAATATTCTGCAAGTTTCAATCAAAAAGAATATTCCTTTGTCGAGATATTAAATTTCTAAAAAATGGTCGTTTGTCACAAAAATCGAGTTTAATGAAAAATTTAATATCTCGATAAAAGAATATTCTTTTCGGCTGAAACTTTTAAGATATTCTCAAGATCATCAGATCTATCTATGAGCAACACTTCAGGTCGAAATTCAGTAAAACGATCATAACTCGACGTCAAAGATTCATGAGCACAAACCATTTTAGAATTTTTTAGCCTTACCGAGACCTCTTTATAAACCCAATAGTAGTTTTCTCGTAAGGGTCTAAACTCTTCTCGGAGTATTCATAGCTCATGAGAGTCTACATGATACACTTAGTCTTAACTCAAAAGCAAGTAATCAGTTGTGGAAACTTCTCTCGTGAGACATAACTTCTATAAATTATTATTGACTATCCATGAAAAAAAAGTCAAAACAAAAAAAAAAATCTTTGAAGAAAATATTATTATAAAAAGTTAAAAGTGATCCAAATTAAAAATGATTATATAAGAATAGAAAATTATGAATTCATATCATGATTATTTCATATCATACGGTGTTATTTTAAAAAAACAAACGATTTCGAGAAGACACATCGAAAATGAATATTTCATTTGATCTTTTTTTAAGGATCTTGTTAAAATGCATTTGTTATCAGCTGTTCGTGATGAAGTAACTGAATTACGTCAACAAATTCGAACACTTACTGACAAAGTGAATAGTGTTGAACATGAAAATGCATTTCTTCGTCAGCATGTACCTAGTGAAATCTATGCTCAATATACACCATTATTTGCCAGTGTATCATCTGCAAATGATTTATCCAATTCTACGACAACTGTAACGACTACGGCTTCTGCTATTCCTTCATCGTCTATAACGTCTAGTCAATCGATACCAATGGCTTCTGTATCATCACTTCCTTCATCGTTTGCACAACAACCACCTTTATCGACTACCTCACAGCCACCTTCATCAACAAATCTTCCTTCAACTTGATTTTCTTGTTATTTAAAACACGTTTTTTTTTCTTGTTTTACTTTCTTTCCTCTTTTTTTTTCGAATACGTATTCGTTCTCACTTTCTTTTACGTGTGTGGGTGTGTGTGTGCGTGCGTGGGTGTATGTCTTCGTCAGTATACTATTTGAACGTAAACCTTTGATCAATAGGTGATTCCTGAGGAAATCACCTGTCTCAAATCACTTCTAGCTTTTAGTGTATGAAACGAACAAAAGCGGCTTCTCTTTTTTTTTCAATTCAATTTTATGAATATTGAGCAGGGATTACTGATAATTATAAGGAAGTAATATCAGGAAGATTAAGATCGATAAAATGAATTTACTTATTTCGAAGCTTTTATTAATTTTTTTTGTTTTTCGAAAATGAAAAATCAGTTTGTTTAAGAAAGAGAGACAGAAAGTGAACGACACATATATATATATATATATAACAAGTTTAACTATTGAAGTTCAGTTTTATGTATCAATATAATAATTCAAATGAAACATAATTTCATTTTCGAAATAGAATGATTATAATTTTCTCATTGAAGAACTACGACTATAATTGCTTTGTCTTATGCAAGATTATATTTTGTATTTCGAGCAGAAAAAAAAGTAGTATCAGTTGATAGTATACTCTTCATAAAATATAATAAACTTTTTTTGTTAAATTACTTTGTTTATTTCTAATGATTTAATAGAAGGATTACGTTTAGTTATTCTAATTATAAATGTTACATAAAGATTCTTTGTTTTAGAAATCGAAATGTTGTTTATTAACCATTTACTTTCCTGTGTTGGGTCATTCTTTATCATTTCATAGGAATTATCTATTTAGAGTAAGAAACTATTCGATAGAAGTGGTTCTCGAACATTATCTAAAGACTTCAATAAATTACGAACTCAAAAAAAAAATGAAACTTTTTTTTCATCATTCCTTGGCTAAGATATATGAGTTGAAAAAAGGTGTTTTTTAACAAAAGTTTTAAAAAATCTGTTTTCTTTTTTCTTTTATTTTATTGACCTACACAGACTGTTTATTTTAATACTGATGAAGTTGATATATACAATAGTAGATAGTAGAACTTTTCATAAGATTAGTATAAATAAGCAGTACTAGCCACCTCCTGATCAGAACTACTGCTCATTCCTGCAGTGTTGTTTTTAATCATTTAGGTTTGACATAGCTCTTGCATCGGGCCCTACCAGCAGTACAAAATTTTTTATTTTTATCTCAATACTTGTTGGGCCCAAAGGTAAGCCATATGACTATGATAATGGTGAAATATTGGCTCAAATGGTGGAAGCAGTCAAAAGACTTGACAGATTCAACTCACTCTGGTCCACCGCGTTCAACTAATCCAAAACAGAATCAAGAAATTGTTTTGCTCACTAACAACAGACGCTCGTCACTAGCCGAGACATCGTAAACTGCTTGAAAAGAAAACGAATCATGATCAACAAGAGAATGGTGCGACGGCGGTTGAACAAAACAGAAGTAAGATACAATCGACCACTATCGAGAGAATGATTTAAATTGAGCTCAAGATCACAAACCGACGAACTAAAATCAAATGATCTTTTCTGACAATATTACCAATCGTCTGAATTTTGTCAATGATTTGGAACTTTGCCACGAAAAAAACAAGATTATGCGAACATTCAAACATTCTATCAAAGTAAAGGTTTTGGGCGTATCGTCTGTTTAAAGCAGAGCCTCGATATGAAATTTTTGTGTTATCTTTTGTCAACAGTTCACAATATGATTTGATTGTCGATGTCATCCGATCTTGCATCCATTGAAAATGTTTGACAACTTCTCAAGGTAAAGTTAAGAACGAAAAGGTTTACAACTTATTAATCTTTTGTTTCGACATATAAAACGCGAATGGAAGATCTTTACCATCGGACTTGGCCAACAAACTTGTACGTAGTATGAAAAATTGAATTTCTGAAGTTGTTGAAAGTCATGGTGACTTTATGTGATATTAATGATCAAAATGTACTATTAAGCTTTTACATAATAAAAACAGTTTTCATCTCATCACTTCATTTGATAAAGTCCAGCGAGGGTGGAAACTTTTCTCTACCACTGTATTACTACAAGTATAATCTATTTGTAGAGTGATTTTTAAAATATTCTTAATTACAGATGTGGAAGCAGTATTTTTCATGACAACTGAAACCACTTTTAACTCATTCGTAGTGAATAATATACAAAATGGTTTTTCTCCAGTTATTCTGTTTCCCATATAAATTCATAAAATAACACGATATTTATTTTTTAGATTTTATTAGAACTAATAACCAATCAAAAAAGCATTTCACGACCGTTTTTAAATAACTTTTTATCGATAAAAGATAGAAAGCTTCACCTTCTGTTATAGTCTTCCTCTGGACGACATCTTAACAATAGCAATGACTAATTTTGAACCAAAATCAGAATTAATTATTCGATATTATAAAAAGAAAATAAAGATACGATCTTAGAAATAAAAGACCCGATTTCAATCCGAATATAACTGCCTATGCACATGTCTAATCATATATCATCTGGCGAAAAGAAATCATTTTTCAAAAAATAATCCATAATAAATAGATCTCCAGCTTTATACAGATAAACTAACAATCAAACGACGAAGAATTACAAAAAAAAAATAATAAATTAACAACAAGTTCAATTCTCATGTCATTTAAAACGGAATATGTCATGTTTGACGCATTATGCATCTCTACAATAAAATAACTTTTGCCAAAAAACTTAATTGTATTACTGTCATAATTAACACTTGTATAGGCTATTCCTGAGGCTAACCCAATACTAACTCTAATGCGTGGGTACCAGGAGGCAAAGAGTTTAATGTAAAAGAATTTTATTAGAAATTTAATAGAGAATATTTGCACTAAGACAACATATAAGTAATTCATTGATCTGGAAAATATATGATTACTATTTTAAAGAGAATTATGTAAATTATTGACATACGTAAATTTTCTAAGCGTCTTTTATTGATCTACATATTGAATTATATGAATAAAGAAAACATTGTTTTACTTATAGAAACTTGAACGAATAGGTTTATCAAAATCATAATAAATATTATTTATTAATGAAAATTTGTCTTCTCTTTTATTTAAATATTTTTATTATTTAAATCAAATTCCTTGTTAAAGTTTTTGTTTTTATTGTTAACAACGATTGAAAATTAATTAATTCTTTAGAAAAAAAAGAAATAGAATATTCCATTACTTAAAAAAAAATTATTATCTTATTCACCAATAGAAAATACTTATGCTTCACATTTTTCTTTCAAAATTAGTCACGCACGATATAAATAATTCTTTTCGAATATGATAAATTTTCTCTTTTTCTTCGGAGTTTTACACCAAGTTCGAACAATTCTCGAACATTTTGGATAGAATAAATCAACACAAAATAGTACATCTTTCGATCTAACCTTCTCGGCTTCGTACTTGTTCGTGAAATTATGCAAGATCAGCAACTATTTTCAAATCAAATACATCTTCAAAGAAAACAAATAATTCCAAAACAAGAAACTGAATCAGATAAAAGTAACACCAAAATTCGTATTGACAACGAATTTGATAGCCGCATCAATCTTTCGACTCTATCTACAATCATCACATTCATCTCCTAATAATATTGAAGAACAAACAACATCGATAAGTTCTGAAGCTCTTAAACACACAAATTCGATATCATATCCACCTCTTACCATAACTGGTATTCCAGCTTTTACATCACATTCATCACCAGCTATTGTTCATTTTTTACGTTCACTTGTCAATGCTCATCCAACATTACCTCGAATTAGTGATACATCATGGCGTTTAAATAATAAAAATCAATTGGTGCTCTGTGCTTCAACCAGAGATGTATTTTCACTATTATTCACGAATACTTATCCATCTACCATCGGTACATCTACCATACAAGTTACACCACCACGTGGCTTACCAGCCCAACTTTCACTTCTTCTTTTAAATGTTTCATGTTATCTTGATGCTAATTATCTTTTAGAAGAAAAACAAAAACAGTTTCGTTCAGTTAAATATCTACACCGTATTCGTACTTCTTCAAACACAAATAATTCTACACTTATTCGTATCGATTTTGAAATTGCTCAAGAATGTAATCAATGCTTACAAGCACAATATCTGCCAGTTGTAAATGTGGGTCTTGCTGTTAAACAATATTTAGATCCTCCTCGCATTTCTCAATGCAAAAGATGTTGTTCATTTGGACATTTCGCCAATCATTGCTCAACTACACATAAGATATGCAACAAATGTGCAACATCTATTTTAATTGATACAAATCATCAGTGCAGTTCTATTCGGTGTATTAATTGCTCAAAATTGCCTAATCATTCTTTTGATATAAATCATGATGCTTTTGATCACCATTGTCCATCTACGTTAAATTTCAAAAAAAATGCTCATCACAAACCTTGTCGAACAAGGTATTGTTTCGAATCACATTTATGTTCCAAAAGAATTACAATACCGTTTACGGTAGGTTCATGAACGATTACCACCAGTTACTCCTATTTCATCTCGGTCGATACCTTCAATAGCACCACATCATACTACAGAGAACACAACAAATACCATTGCACCTAAATCAACATCTACAACAGTTATTGTTCCTCAATCATCAAGATCCATATCAAATTTTATTGATTTTATGCAAACTATTGTTAAATCTTTTGAAGACCTATTATCGAACTTTGCTAAACAAATGACTAACTTAACTGTTTTATCTATTATACAAGAACATAAAATTGATTACGTAAGTTCTCTTATCGAAAAAATAATGTTACCATCGTTCATGTTAATTACTGAAACTCTACTAGCTCTTGTTCATCTCATTCTAGACTCATCAATGCATGTTAATCAAAAGGAAACAATAAGTAATCAATTACAAAAAACATCAATGTTTTTGAACACTACCTATGAACAACATCAAAGTTTTAAAAAGTCTATGAAACAAACTCGAAAATTAATGATTGATAATAATATAATGAACTTATGTGCAAATCATTCATTATCTGATACTTCTACTGCGACCAACACTATTTCCATATTTTCTTCAATATCATGATCACTACTATGAATATCAACTCGAAAACCTTTTTTGTATTGGCCGTCAATTTTATCGTTATCATATGATCAATTATTTATTTTCGATTCTCCATTTGATAATCATTTATTTAGTTCTATAATTACTGTATAGAACGAACGACAAACATTTACAAAATTTATTTCATCAATGGTCGTCTGTTATTCTACCTACAGCTTGGTCTGAAACATTGACACTTCTTTTATATAACACGCAAGATATTCATTCTCGTTACTCGGAAGTTCGATCATTGCTTAACAACCTTCAGCCTACTATCATTACTCTTGTTGAGACTGGTATCGTAGATGAAAACGAATTGCGTACGTTTACTACTGATTATGCTCATTTTATCACTCCCGGTTCGAATGCATGGGGAGATGTTGCTGTTTTAGTTCACTGTAGTGTCAATTATTCTTTTGTTTTTTTCTGCTGACAACTTTTTAGTTATTGACATTTGTTTGTCATCATCGATTCTACGTGTATTATCCGTCTACAGTCCTTCATCAGAAATTGTTCCACTCTCTCTGTTGTCGAAGAATATCGCACCATCAATACAATCATTGTCGGCGACTTCAATGCTCATTCGCCACGCTGGGATTGCGCTCGTACTAATCGTGATGGAAGACTGCTTGAAAGGTTTACTGATGATGCTGAGCTTTACATTTGTTATCCATGTCACACCACCTCTAAATTCTCCAGTAATAGACTAGATATCGGTTTAGTTTCGAATGGTGAATGGAAATCTTCGGTTTATTTTTCAAGTTTCTAGTGACCATTGGTCTGTTTTATTTGAAAGTCCTTGGACAACAAAAACAGATTGTTTTTTTGCGTGATATCCAACGGTCAGTTTATCAACAATTTGTTTTCTTAATTTTTCCATACATTAAAATTCTCTTGTTTATAATTTCGATAGTATTTATTTTTTGGAATTTTTTACTCAATTATTTTGTGCTGTATACGTACGAACCACCCAATATATTTCCTATTCTTTTTATAGACGTTCCTTAATTTCAGCTATTCGACAACAAATTAAAGTTTTTTATAAAATTCGAAATCGTTATTACAAAACTAAAACAATTACTGCAATTCTTTTATATATTGAGAAACGAACCGAATTAAACGAATGTATTCGAGCACATCGATTCTATCAATGGCATTTATATCTTTCACAACACAATTCTACAGAATCAGCTTTCTGGCATTTTTCTACAAAGTTTTTTCAGAAAAGTAAGACTCCATTCAAAAACCTTACTACAGGTACTACGCTCATACGAAACTCCGAGGATATTTTAGCTCTGTGACATCAACATTGTAAAAATCACTACTCATATTCTCGACTCGATAATGACAATTCAGATTTTTCTAAAATATTAAGAGAGTACGACGTTATTTTCAAAACTTTATCCACATCATCTTTTGATTACCTTCGAACAACTTTCAATGAGGTCCTGGCGGCCATTTCTACTTTGAAACTGAAAACATATTTTGATTTACACAACAACTCTAACATCATGCTTTAAAAGCTTTCCATTGGTTTTATTGGTATTTTCACTGTTTTATTTAACTCATTTTTACAAACATCTTCTTTTCCTGATTTATTTAAAAATGCAAAAATGATTTGCCTTTCGAAAACAACATCTTTTCCGACAATCGATGAAACTCGACCCATCTCATTGTTATGTGTACTCGACAAATTATATGAACGAATTATAAGTCGTAAACTTAAAACTTAGATGCGAGACTCAGCTATTGTTCCGAATGAACAATCTGGTTTTCAATCTAAATTACGTATTGCTACACGTGTTCTTACACTTACTGAAGCTCATCAATCTGCTATCTCTTCCAATCGACTTGTACTTACTTTCTATCTCAACTTTACCTCTGCTTTCGACAAAATCTCATATTTTTGCTTATTCGTAAAACTATATCGGCAAGATATGCCATATTCTTTATTAAAATTTTTTTTGTCTTGATTGCATACTCGTACAGCACAACTCTCTTTTCGAAGCAAATTTTCATCAAAATTTTATTTAGAATGGGGACTACCTCAAGGATTAGCTTTCTCTTCTGATTTTCTTTATATTCTTTTCATTTCAGATCTCATATTAATTTTCAATGAATATGATCTTAATTTTTATGCTGATGATGATGCAGTAGCTACATTTCATCTTTCGGTATTTCTTTTCAAGAATCTCTTCATTGACTCAAGCAGAAAGGTCAGCTATTGCTTGCTTCTCTTTCAATCTACTGCAAAACATGGCTTGTCGATTTAAATCCTACAAAAACAGTATACCAACTTTTGGAATCTCAAATTGGTATCCCTGATTTACCTTTTTTTTTTATGACGGATATCGTTTATTGCGTGCTAAGGATTTTTGCTATCTTGGATATGAAATAAATACTCGAGCTCCTTATGAATCTTTTCTTAATCATATTTTGTCTAACATTCGTTCTCGAACACTCATACTTAAAATTTTGTTTAAACATGAAAGGCAAATTGCTATTCAATTACGTCGATAAATTTTTTATAGTTTTATTTTTTTCCTTTTTTTATATGGCCTTTCCCGTTTTTTCCGATTTTACAACTTCACAACAAGAAACTCTTCATGAAATATTTTGCTATAATTTAAAACTTGCCAACGGTTTGGTTAATTGGTCCGATCACTTCTTTTTTTTTCTATTACAGGTGAATACACTCTATTGGATCGTTTATATCTTTACTGGAGACGTTTTGAGGGGGCCCTTCTGACCGATCCGGATACTTTGAGTTTAGCTCATCAATGGGCCTTTTATCGGTCTCTCAGAAGCGATATAGGTGTTTCAACTCTTAAGATAGCGGGTGTGCGTTTGAATTCACATCAAATCCGATTGTTTTGTGGACGATATGTTCATATTTTTGAACTTTGATTTCGTTTTCGATAATCTTATCGCTCTTTGTTTGCTTTCGACATTCGCGAGTGAAACTATCTTATGTATAATCTTTTACTATTTTTCATGTACTCTCGCTCTTCTGACAACTCTGTATGATATAGTTTTTCTTTTTTCTATCTCCTCACTGGGCAACAATGAATCCCAGTATAAATAAAGCATATAATAAAAAAACAAAGTGATTCATTTTTTAATGACACATTGAATTTCTTCCTACAATCGACTTGCATAAATTTGCATTATATTTCACAATCAAGTGAAATTCGAATGTTATGTAATTTGCCTTTTTTTTTTGAATATCAAATTGGACTTGACATATTTAATAAGGAATGACACATATATCTAGATCCTTAAATATATCCAGGTTTTTCTTTGTGCGTATATTAATTACGTAGATATACTCAGTTGGATATAAAATTAATGATTATAATCCTTTAATATTTTTGTTTTTGATAGCACTTCTAATAAAATAATTATGCTATGACCTGAAAAGTACTGGAATATATAATTGATATTTTGAGAAGTCAAATCATAATTCTCGAATGACTAAAGACTACAAGTTATTTTTTTTTCAAATGCATATTTATGTATATGAATATATTAATAGTATATATGAAATAAATATTTATCTTACATGCATAATGAAATTTAGTTCTTCAAATCAAGGAAGAAAACGACATTGACAGAGCTTTCTTTCCAAGCATCTCCCTATTTTTTTTCTTCCTTACTTACTTCCCATCGATTACTAATTTTTATTATATGAATGTTCTCGTCTTTTTTTTTTGCTTTGTCATTCAGCATATATATATATATACATAAGATGACTCATATAATACTATATTCAATAAAATGCAAATTTGCATTAGATCAATGTTACAAAACAACTCCAGACTGTCTTGTTGTTATCGCGAGTAATCATTATGAATCTCACATATATAAAAGTGTGTATTTTATTTTGTAGAATACTAACGACATGTGTCAAAAGATGAATATGTCTGCATGTGTCGATAACAGATGAATGACATTAATTTTATATTTGACAATTTCACCCCACCAGAAAAATTGGAATAAAAAATGTTCTCATTATTAATGCAAACATGTCTCAAGTACTAAATAATAATTAAGATATATATACATAGATACATTTGAATTTCTAATATATTCTAATTGTTATTTTTGTAATTTTTTTTTGTATTCTATATGATTACTGAAAGAATTAACTCTTTTCCGAATGATGTGATTTGTCATTGGCACCTTTATTTTTCTTGTTCTTCGATGTAATGTTGATCTAGTCTACAATTGATTTGACGTAGTCTTTTTATGAGTATTCGTAGGCGTCATACCATGTTTGATAAAAAAAAAAAAAGAAAAGAAAAGCAAATGAAAATGAAAATATGTAGGCAATCATCGTTCTATCAAAACTAGTCTGCTTTTTTTCTCATATTCTAGCATTAATGAAACAAAAAATAAGATAAAGCCAAATTCAAAATAAAATAATATAGACAGATTGTGATTTGTTATCAATGAATCCTTTTTTTAAATTGCATATCTTGTTTTGATAAAACAAATGTATTAATATGTATATATCATATGAATGGAATAAATATTAGAAAAAAAATAATAAAAATGAGTAATATATGTCAAAAGGGATTTGCATGACTTTAAACTAAATAAATTAAAAAGAAAGTAACATAGTGATTAAAATAATAATATCTAATGAGAATTTTTTATTTCTTTACTCTTTTTTCTCAAATGTTACATCGGTAGATTTTAGGATTACGTAATTCGTTATATTCTAGTAATTCGTACTTTGAGGTCATTTTGTATATAGTACGATCAAGGATGTTTCTTATGTCTTTGTTGTCGACTACAAATAGGAATATATCTCGTAAACATAATGACATGTTTTTCTTAGGAGTATTTCATAAAAAAACGTTTTTTTTTGTAATAGTTTTCTTAGTCAACATAAACTTTTTTTTATCCTTGAAAAAGTCTTGACTAGACATAAAAAATTATTTAATATTTCTTCTATAGTTCTATTGGGAATATTTTAG